CATAAAAGAAACATATAATATGTAAAAATGAGAAACAGAATAATCCAAATCCAAGAGAATCTACGGCACATTCAAGCCTATTGACAAGTGTTTCCATCAAAAGTATACCACAGAAAATACATTACTGAAGTACTAGCATATCTTCTACTGGCCTGAATACTTTTCTATCTTTAACCCTATTTTGAAGACATATTAGAGCTACTAGTCTTCAGATACACTCAGCAGAAACACATAAGCTCCTCTTATCCCTACCCATTAAGAAAAACCAAGTGCTTTTACCTGTAACAACTGGATGAACTATACAAAAAGTACACGCGATAACAGAAGTGCGTATGTGACTAATATCAACAGAATGACTGCCTTCCTAGGTCAGACTACATGCTGTACTGAAACTGAATTAAAGCGGTGGGTTCACACCACCTATCCCATCCTAAATCAATTTCAGCTATTTCAATTTTCTGAGAGAATCACTGTGCAAATTTTTTGCCTGTATTCAAAATATTAGTGTGACGACAACATGACATAAATTACTGCCTTTAAACAAATGCATAGAAATTCTTGAGGTGTCGGCTGGAAAAAGATTGATAATATCAGCTTCAAGTGTGCTCAGTTTTTCTTTCCGTATTGTTGGAAATCATTCTGCGTACTACCGTGCTTTGTTTTATATGTTTTGCACTCTGTATTAGAGAATATACATTTCCATGATGGTTGAAGAGATTCCTCTTCAGTATATTTCTTTAGTCTCTCTTGGGTGCTGTATACTGTAAGTAACTTTTAAGATCCTCCAGTGTGAGACAGTCTAATAAAACATATTGCCACATACTACTCTTAATGAACAATGAGAATGGATTATAAAGTTGAGTGAGACAAAATTCTGTAAAAAGAGGAAAACTAAAACACACCATCTTTGCTTCAGTGGAATCCAAGTATGGACACTGGCATGTAATAGAAGTTGACACTACATTGTGTAGTGTACACTGGTACTTACTAGGGATTAGCTAACTGCTTCCAATTCACACTGCAGTTTGCTGTTCTGCACTTACGCCCCAGCACACAAGTCCTTAGAAGGATAGGTGATATGGAAGACACTGAGAAAAACTACATGTATACATGGGATACATGCAGCTTTGTTCCCTTCCTTTATCACACCTAGATTCACAGGCTACTCCTGAATGAGTTCTATGTGCACAAGGCTTATGCTTCTTCAAACAGAAGAATGCTTAGCTGAACCATGGAGTGCAAGACTGTTCACAGAAAGGCATTTGCCAAATGAGTAGTACATAAATTGAGAACGGATCTTCGGGGAAATAATGTGGAAGAAGAGTACTGCTGGTAGAAGACAGTTTAAAATATTCATAAGGCTACTGAGGAAGGCTAAGCGAATGTTTCATGAGGATGAAGAGAAGTGCTCATGGGAAAAAAAACCAATGTGGTACTGTCAAGCCAGTTGCTGAAGTGAACAACATACCAGCTGCTTCCACTAAGATCAAGCTTTATTTATCTCGTTTCAAAAGTGTTTGCAAGTTTCTGATATTCCCTAAGGGATTTTTGTCAGTATGAGGATGTTTGAGGGAAATCAGCACACATTTTGGCAGGCTGCCATTCTGTGTGCAAGATCAATGTAAAGCTCGAATAATAGATTATTGCAGATCATGGAAAAACCTGCAGGACTTGCTCAGGACACTCAAATCTCCACCAGCACCCTATTCACTTGAGGGAAATGAAAAAGAATCACCAAGCTACAGTATACTCAGAAGTGCAGATTTGCACAGTGACAGGGAGGCATATCTTTTTGAAGGGCTAGAGTGGGAAGAGGGCTTTTGGAGCAGCTGGAAGCACAGCAGCATGCACACAGTCCAGTGCATCAAAAGCGACCAGTTGCTGGAGGTGAACTTTATCTACATCAGTCACCTGCTATAGAGTTGGACTCTGCAAAGGCTGCCAGAAAAGGTAAACCACAACTGCACAGTGGCAAGAATGATGCAGAGCTGTAAAAGTGAATGAGGAAAAGAACAAAGGGCCATCTTGCCAACTCGTTAAAGATGATAACATCTCTATTCTGAGCTTTGGAAAACATCTTTGCTAACCAACAGACATCACAGGAAGCTCTCTCCAGTCCTTAGCACCCTGAAGGACACTGGCTATTAAAAAGCCTCTAAATTCTAACTTCGGAGGTGCTGAGATCCTGAAACTATCAATTATCTTTCAAATGTAAAGATCAGATTGCTTATTTTCTACTGCAGACTGACAGATTTTCTTTAATTATATACTATTAAGAATTTGCCACAAAATTGTTACAGTGTTACTTACAAATTATGAGGAGGAAAAAAAAAACCCACCATGATATAACAGACAAAAGTCCAAGTTCCTTCTTTCTTCTCACATGTTTCTTGGAAGTCTTTATTTTTTCTGTTTATTTTCACCTTTGTGAATTCAAAGTTTCAAGGATATGATAAGAAATCCTAGTTCTGCAGCTTGTTGCAGGCAGATGAATTTATCTGGTACATACAATATTAGAGAATTAAATCTCTCCAAAGCTGTGAATTGTGTGAGCAACATCCTATTTCCATTCAAATTGATACTGGTATAAAGTCTACATTTTAGGAGCAATTTGGAGATTAGAGGTAGTATTGCTAATTTAGAGAACACCTGAAGATTGGAAAATTAATTGTAAAATAATTAATCAAGAGGCCTAAATAGAATAAGGTATTTTAATTTAGACATTTGATCAAGTCTAATTTTATCTGCTGGAAATAATGAGTATCCATTAGATACTTCAGCATTTTACAGGATACAGACTCTTGAGAGTCTTGAGACTCTTGAGATCTGAAGACCTCAGTGCAGAATTGCAAGCTCATTTCCCACACTGACACACATTGTTCTAGCTCTTCACATCAAATATGCTGTGCAGGAGGAAAGCAGTATTTGCAACAATCATGAGAATTAGAAATAAGTTATATTAATAGATACCCATCTGTCAAGAGGATAGTAAAACCTTACTGAAAACCAGAAAAATCATAAACTGACATTCTTTCACTCTTTTGCTGCTAAACAACATTTAAATGTAGAAGATATATCTGTGAATAAACTCAATTAAATGTCAGAACATACTCCTGCATCAAAGCAGATTCCAATGTATGCAAAAGGTTCTTCCTAGCCTTGCTGCATAGTTTTTTTTTTTAGTAAAGCAAATGCAAGCAACATAGCCTTGAAACCACGTGAACCCGAGTCACCTGCACATCCCAGGAGCTCTTCCATGCGTGCTTTGTTAAAATCCTATCAAAGACGTGAATTACACCTACTGCACTTGAGGTACTGGAGACAATACACATGTCTCTCGAGTTACTGTGCATGCAGCAGCTCACCTGAGAGTTCCAAACAGGCTCTGTGCCTAAAAAGTGTATTGCTCTGCTTTCTGCATCTAAATATTCCTTTGGTACAAAAGGCTCCAAATACTGCAGTTACAGAAGGTTTGGAGCGATCATCTAATTAGCACTGATACCTTTTACATGGCTACTTTACTCTAATGAGGTTGAACACAAATGCAATGGGGCAAAGGAAGAAAATGTGAAACTATAACAATAATTACAAATACAATCAGGGCTTTTTGCAAGATCCCAGACCATGTTTCTCCTCTAATTACTGCTAATTAGTGTTAGAAGAAATGATTATAAACGCCATTTCTGAAAGAAATTAAAAAAAAAAGGAGATAAAGGATTCTGTATTCATTTTTCCTCTGAAAACTGTGATTACTCATTTAATGTTGCCATTCCTAGATTGACTCAAAATGGTCAATCATCTCTGATTTGAGGCAAATCAGAGAACTATCAGTTTTTCCACTCCCACTCCCCTTCCCACTCCTGCCTTTAATACCTACTTATATTTATTATTTACATCATACAAATTTAGAAAAAACAGTAAATGACTCCTGCACTTGTATGGGAGCTGCTGAATCACAGCCTCAACCTCTGATTGATCACCTGAAGCGAGCACTGAGTCAGCCACGGGAGGCTGGAAGGGGCAGAGCCCAGCTCCACCTCTCCTAGACCCATTTAAGAGCTGGCTACCAGTAGGAAAAGATCTCTTCTGGAGATCCCCTCCTCTGGAGTTTCATAGAGAGCCCAAGATACAGGTAAACATTCTATCCTGTTTTGGTATAATAACTGCGTAGCCAAACTCTGGTATATTTCATAACTATAACATCTGTACGTTCATTGATTACACAACACTGAAACACAACCAAACAGAAGGGGTGCTCTATCTTCACATCACTTATTTCCATCTTCTTCCCAATCCTTACCAGCCCATGAGATCTGACATACTGAAGTGAGGCAGAACTCTATGTGAAACATGCACAAAGAAACAGAAAGTAATCCTATAACACAGTTATGGGAGCTTCAGCAAGAGTGCACAGCAGGCTTCTTGCCAGCCCTATACATTGCCAAAAGTGCTTCTGTGAGAACCACTTAGCTGATTATGCTTTAAGATGCAAAGGAAAGGCCTGCTGACTCAGTGTGAACAGACCAACACTCTCAGCCCCACCCTCTTTCAGCAAGAAACAGACATGTCAGCAAAGGAGAAATAATCATCTCTCTCCTCCAACCAGTCATGTCTTTCATTCAAGACATGAACGAACTTACTTGCTCATATCTTATCTTTATTTGGCAGTTAGAAATCAGGCCCTTAGGCTGGCACTTGTGCCCTGGTCCATCACAGACAGAACGGTCCAAGTGATCTTCCAGGCCTTCAGTAGGTGCATGGAGCCATGCACCCAACAATGCTAGTGCTCTGCAAATCACTGGCAGAGATTTGAAGTCAAGTGCAAAGGACTGATGGAATACCACAGATGATGGTGTAAGGGGGTGTGGAAAAGCTTTACCAGAGCACATAAAGTTGTTAAAGAATCCTACCCTATAAAACACTTGTTATCAGTGCCCTGGCTTGTAGTCTAATATGCAACATACCTCTGCAGGGTTTTCTTGTTTTCTGGTTCCAAGAATGAGCCACTGAGCTTCTGGAAGGCAGATGGACATACACCAACAGAACTTGGGGTTGACATCAATCTATCCAGGGTATGTGGTCGAGCTGCAGGTCTTGCCTTTTTAGCTTTGGAAGTATCAAAACACATGATTCTTCTGGAAAGAGAAAAAAAATAACGATCCAGTCAGATAATGAGAATGAGAACATGAACTGCTCAGATGAAAATGTCAGCACAAACGCTTGGTCTGAAATAGAGGGTCCTAATCACTGGAACTGATGGATCAGAAGAGAACCATTTCAAATCTGACAAAGCAAAATGTAATTATTATGAAAGTGGTGAGAGGGCAGGTAAATGACTTGCCCCCAAATTAAAAAAGTCAAACCTAGTTAATTATATCTCAGCTAATAAAAACAGCAGTGATAAGACTGTTACAGATTGGTGAAAAATTAATGAAGCCTTTAATGAACTTCATGGCAAATTATATAAATCAGAGCAACTTAATAAAAGCCCCGAAGAATTTTAGCAGCGATTAGATTTTCCAACTGCTGAAAGACAAAGAAAATAACTCCACTAAGATCCTTCATTCTCTACTAGAAGATTCTGGAAATCATTAAAATAGTGGAAACAGTGCCAGTGAGTGACAGGTTCAATACACCAATAATTAACTAAGCTTAGAAATTCATTTTTAAATGGCCACCTCCCAAACTGACCAGAGAGCATTTTGAAACTCCTGCATATCAAGCTACTAAATCAATGTTTCTTTTTTGATGAATACAAGGAAAGAGGTGAATCAGATTCAAGACCAGGGTTCCTCCCAGTACTGTTGTGAGCTAATTTTGCATTAAATGTCTAGGTGTTTGGACATAGAAAAACTTGGAAATGGACAGCAATTTCAACAGATAGCTTTAGGAACAGAGCAATATTTTGAAAGGCATAACAGTGGTTAGAGCGTAATTTCCATTACATGCCAAGATGTTTAGGACACTTAATTTTCCATCTTGCCTCTGACACTCTACTTGCAATTAAACATAACGAATTGTATCTTGGAAATGGATTCAGAGAGGAGCCTAGGCCTCCTGCAGGTTTTTCTAGTTGATATTAATTATGAGGGACTAGTACAGAAACAGGGAGAAGAAAAAAAGAATGCGTCCCAGCTCTCAAATCATGCCAAGAAAGCTTAAGACAGATTAGTTATATAAGGATCAAAAGCAAAGTCATAAAAAAAACTGGTTTATTTTCTGAATTTATCAAACTAATGAAAAGAAATAGCTCTCAATCAATTTCAGAATTGCAGAATTGTATCCGAAATAATATTCTAAACAGCAGCTATGTCTGAGCCAGTACAAATGTACAAAATCATTAGAAAAGACAAAGATATCATGGAAGGAGGAATGAAGAACAGGTTTTGTGTCTTCTTCCAGCAAGACGGCTCTGAAGTTGAGCTGTAAAGGCATTGTGTAATTTATAAATGCAATGACAATATATTATTATTTTTTTAGAAACACTTTTTCCCTCCATATCACTTTTGCCACTCTATATCCTCAACAGCACCTGTAGTCACCTCACAGCATCAAAGTTCCCCAAGGCCCAGTGATAGCTGACTATCCTAAGAAAAGGGGGGCAGTAAAGAATTCTCCTGGGACCATTGCTGTGCCCAGGCACAGACAATGAATTCTCCTTTAAGACTTGTTGGTCTCATTTCCAATGAAGCTGAAAAAAATACATTCAGACTACTTGTATATAAATGTGAACAGTTTGTGATCAAAGTGTGCTCCGTGCAGAACTGTGCTGTAACTATGGAAACTTCCATTGAGAGGGACATCCATTGTAAATCTATAAGGAGCTAATTTAGATGAGATTTAGTTGTACTAGTCACCAATTTATGAATATTCCAGTCATGTAAAAAAAAAAAACACACCCTAGTTTCTAACAGCGTTTTTTTTTAAATAGGGCAGCTGTGTGAGTGAGAATGCTATTACCAGCATTTACATTGAGCAGTTTCTAAATTTTACTTTAAAATTCTTTTGCAACTTGGATATTTTGTAATCCTTCGGCTATGAAGGCTTGGTTTTCTTAAGCTTCAAGCACTCCACTCTTCTTTGTCCCATTATGTTTTTCATATGTAGACAGCTGGTAAACATGTCTTTCTTTAAATATCTTCACACTGAGCCCAGCTACAGGGTAAGCTCAGAAAAAAAGGTTCCTCTCATTTGCCACTTCAGGTGCAATCTCTCCTTAAAATCTTTAGCTATCTATAGCCTCTCACCTAGGACAAAATGCCAAAACAGTGTTCCCTCATAGTTTCACCTTGTAACCTTTCTCAGTGAAGGGTAGGCCCTCCTCTCTTACTAACTTTTAATAGAATCTCAAATGGCAGCCTTGTTTCTAAGGCAGCAAACTTGGTGTTGAAGTTTGGGGAGTTATTCTGCACTTTTCTGACAGGCCGTTCTGCCTACTTACAACTGCAGTTTACAGTACATAAAAATATGTCTTAGAGTATAGATTTGAAATAAATTTCCACAGAAGTCCAATTTGCAGAGGACATTGAGGCTGTAGTTTATCTTATTACTGTTAGTCTACTAGTGAAGTCAAATGCAGAAAGAGAATGAGTCATGAATCACCTAAACTCAACCTGCATGTCTTCATGCTGTAGCAGAAGAATCTCCCATCCAAGGTATATTTATTTGTATGGGAATGCATTGTACTGACATCAATAAAGTTGATGTACACCAAATCTCCTTTTAGAAATCCAGGGTAGCATCTCAAAAGAGCACAGCTCTATGGACAAATCAACACCGGTAGTGTGGGCTATAAAAGCATATTCATGCAGCAAGTGGGACTGTAATACAGCTAAATGCATTGGTAATGGTGTGGGTTGTTTTGTTTGTTTGTTTCTTGGAGTGTTTTGTTTAAAATACTGTTCTGATCCCCATTACTCAGGTATTGCAAACAGCATCCAGAGAAGACTTGGAAAAGACTTCTGAAGAACTCTGATGATAGAAAGAGATTACATGCTCAGATTACATGCATCTGGTCTCTCATAAAGCACCTGTTTTTTAACTGTAGAGTTACTGTAGTTTTTAGGGACCAATGATATACTTTTCCAACAGAAAAGGATAGTCCACTTGTAACAATTTGGAAAAAAGTCAGCAAGCAACTACTAAAACCTACCTGGAATGCCTCACGTGGATCTGGCTATCACATCAATGTACTTGAATATATTAATTTTAATTTATTATTGGTGAAAACAAAAATGAAAGATTCCCAGTGGTCTCCTGCCAAATTTGTCCAGTAGGATACTTGACTATTCAGAGATGTTAAAGGGCCTCTTGTTAGCAATACCAGGAACATTAACATAGTTACCCACTTATACCCTCAATGAAAAAAAATAAAAAGCTGTTTGTGCAGCAAGAACGCTTAATCCAAACTACTTTTGCCTTTACTCCAGTCTTGATACACCCAAGCATTTATTCATGTCTTGAACCTCTTCACAGAATCATACAATGGTTTGGTTTGGAAGGGACATTTGAGATCATCTGGTTCCAACCCCTTGCTATAGGCAGTGACGTTTCCCACTAGATCAGGTTGCTCACAGCCCCATCCAGCCTGGCCTTGAGTGCTTCCAGTGAGGAGAAATCAGATCAGGCTTGGGGAAGATTTGTTCCATCAGCTGCATCCTGCAGCCCTGACAACCTAGCTCTTACATTAACCTTGCCTGCAGGTTAGAGTTCTGTTGGATAGCTTCATGGAAAAGAAAGAAACAATAAATTTTGAAGGCAGTTATTTTCTTCAGTTTGCCAGAAGGCTAAAAGCAATTAGTTGTGTTTAATCAAAATGGTTGTCTTTTAAGGAACATACACTTAACATATTTTCTCATTTACCTTCCATTTAGTACAGTGGTTTCAGGACTATATTGTAGTATTTGACATTCTGACCTACACCTCATTTTTGGGTAAAAACAGCCATCCCTCACTGTGATTCTACTTTGTAAACACTTATTCCCTTTTGAAATGGAGCATTATGAGCATTTGGGCATTTTTTTTCCTTTCTTTCCCCTCACTTGCACATAGGAAAGGGAAGATGGAGATTTTGAAAGTGTAACAGACACAGTGCTTGCTAAGACAAAAGATGAGTACACCCAAATATACCTGTGGCAGTAGCTTCAGTCAGGGTCTCATCAAGGTATGCAGGAACAAACTTTCAAAAACGTTCTCCAGTTCAGGATGCTTTAATTTTGCCACCTTAGGGCACTATTTTTCACAAACCCAGAGCACTTCCCACCACAGTTCCCCCTTAGCAGGCAAACTGCTACTGAAATGCAAGTTGGAGCTGCTCTCTACCACACAGACCGCTGAACCAAGGAGAAAGATGTGAAGAGGACTAAAGAGTGACAGGATGGGGGTTCCTGGTTAAGGTATGTATTAGATCTTGTGTATTTTTAGCCAATTATTTCACATTTTCAAGTGTTCCTGAAATAAAGGAAAGTGTCTCTTGACAGATGCCAATCCTTATTCCTTTAACTGAAATAGAAAAGTAATGTGTGCACCCAGTGTGCAGAACGGATAGGCTAAAAGAGCTTTCACTTAGATATAGTCATGGAGCATACAGAAGTTAAGAACTGAGATTTCTGTTTTCATAAAGTCAAATGTTCTGTTTCTGAGAGCAGCCTGAAGACAGGAAACACTTTGTTCTGTCTGGTTCACAGCACACATACATGCAGGGCTCCTGCATGGGAACCTCAACTTCTGTTTCTTTCACAGTGTTAATAAAAGCCAGATCAAAAAGATGAGGCTGTACTTTGTTATGGAAACCATAACAGTGATGCTATGAAAATTAGCAATGAGACCAGACGGGCTGCAGCTGGATAAGCTGTAAAGCCTAGGGATGGAAAAAATTCCCTCTGCTCTTCCAGTCACCGGCCAAGCCAAGGAAGTACAAAACTATCTGGAAAAAGTTTCAGCTGCGCTTTGTAAAACATTGCTCTTCCAATCCGTCTGCACGAATGTATTCAGACACCTGCAACTCCCCTTTGCCACCCAGAACTGATCAGTGTCCTGATGCTGAGCTGCCATATCTCAGTGCTGGGCAGAGGGAGCAGGTGATGGGACTGCCCCAGTTTCATACAGCTGCTCACTTGAAAAATCACAGCAACCA